CCCAATCTTCTCAACCCGCTTTGATCATGGTTGTTTTGCGATGAAATTGTCTAGATCATCATCCGATAGCCAAGGAATTCGGAGGCGGGGCAAGCGGCCCAGGTTGTCCCATCATCATTGGCGGTGGATGGAGCGGTGGTGGGTGGGGGTAGGGAAGGTTCAATGATGCAGGCATGATTGGCGGACCTACCAAATCATTAAAATTCATCATTAACGGTGGTGGAACGCTCATAGAATTATTGCTCAATGAATCTGTAAGTTTTAAATTTTTAGTACATAGACAGTATATACACTTTTCATTACATTATTATTTCATTACAGCTACTATTTATAAAATACTACCCGAAGCAGACAAAATTGTTTTAGCCTAAGTAATAGTGCAGTGAATATCATACTTTATATACAGGCAAATATGTAACTATCGTATTCTTTCCAAACTGTTGGCAATATTTTTCATAAGGTTTTTATTTTGAAAATTGCTTCTTATAATTTTCAAGGAGAATCAGCATAATCTAAGTATTTATTTGTACTGCCAGATTCCTCTAATGTTATAGGTATTGTCTTTCTTCTATTTCGCTTTTCTCTCCCAATCCCACGTTCATTATAAAATAATATCGGAACGAAACATACAAATAGACCCAAGAAAGTCCAGTTGGGTCGGTCAAGGTTGATCTCGGTGTCAGCGATGCCCCACTTGCTGAGCACACCTCTATCTACATACGTGTTCTTTGGAAGTGTTTGTGTTTTTATTTTTGAGAGATCTATACTATGGTTTTTTAATTACTAATTTATCTCTTGTTATCAAGATGAACATATCCAGCTGTCTCCTTACAGGAGACACAGTCTCGAAACAGGTTTCCCTCTGTTCCATGGTTTTCCTATGGCAACTTTAGTCGAACCAGTCCTGGAAAACAATTCAGCTAGTTATTTACGACTTTTTAAAAGATTAGTGGTCTGTAAAAACCTTTTTGGATCTTGCCTGTATAGTCTAACAGTCTTTATCTCAAGATATATTAATATGTTTTTTTCATGATTCGATATAAGCGTCTGGTGGAAATTCGATTGTGATATTGTGAATTGACATTTAGCGGTATTTTAATATAGTTTATAAGACTCTGGTAAGCAGTAGCATTCGATTATAATATATTTGTGTTGATGATACAGTATAATTCAGAGGTGAAGGAACCTGCTGCCGCATATTGTGAGTTATTTCCCTTTGAATCTCGACGATCGTCAAGTTTTCTTTGTTTCTCAGAGAAAAGATCATGTCTCTCCTTTTTCATTTAGTTTCAATTTTTTTAATATACTTCCATTCGTTAATATTATCTCTTTTTTTTTTCTTTCTGACTTGGTTTTAAATAAACCGGTTACAGTATCCCCAGTCTAGATATGTTGACCCACTTCCCAACGTCAGACATTGTGTCATTTAAAACACATCTTTAACCTGAGCTTCTTTGTTTAACTTAATTTCAAAGACAGTCATCCTCTTGGGTTATGTGTACATTACCCAAAATAGCACCTAACTTCTAAGGTTCCCTTTACCCATCCACGTTTATTGTACGTTACAATAACTAATAAATTTTGTTGAAAATTCAGTTCTACTCACCACGCTATCTAATTGCTGACAACATGAAAAATCGTTGACGACAAAAATAAGATTTTAAAATTGTGTTTTGCAAATTTTTGCTACTAACAACTGTTGGATACTTTTTTAATACCCACACAAAAGGGAATATGTACAAGTGGGAAATACCTTAACTTGGTGTTTGTTTTTAAGAATGGAATGAGTGATTAATTCGTATTTTCCTTTAATTCTATACTTCAATTTGTTTACTACATACTCGATTATTTAGGATTAACAACTTGTATCTACTTATGAGGCTTACCTCCAGATTATCAGATATATTTCCAATTCATTCATTTCGTCGCCATGAGTGAGATCATCTAAGAAATTATTTGTGTCATCATCAGGTAGTTCAGGTAGCGGTGGGGGTGGTTCTAGCATAAAAGAGTGATCATCATTTTCACTTCCATCGATAATAACCTGGATAATATTTATATTTTAAGACTAAGACCGTTGGTATATCTATTTTATGTATATAATACACGCAAACAAAATGTCTAAGTAGCACCACTACTATTTCCTATTTTTCAATAAAATTTTTTTTGTTAATACTATACCAGTCGATTTGAAAACTTCTCTACAAAGGTGTGCCATGAAAATTAATCTGTCAATTGCCCTGTTTTAATAAGGCAAAAGTGACAGTGCCTCACATTCATACGATTAATTGCTTCAAATTGTAAAAAACAAAGTTGCTTCAAATTTTAAAGATAGTCGAATAGTTTTAAAGAATTTAAAGTAGTAGACAGTAAAGAATAGTGTATTTTACTTTAGACCTTTGCTAAAACAAGATTATTAAACGCAACAATAGCTATGGAGCGTCGGCATTTATTATATGTTCAAGTGTTAAGTGTTGTGAATATGAATGAAGGTGGTCTTTCACAAACTGATGTTGCCTGACGTCATTTTGACGTCAATTGATGACGACGACGATTGATGTCATTTGACGGGTGTCTGAATGTGATTTTGAAATGTGTATCCATACATGTGAGCATGTATGGGATATGCTTCAGAGACAAATTGCTCCTCGTCTGAATAATGTTCATACTAGTACTAGACAAGGTCCTTCGAAATCTTCTCTTACACAGAAATGGATCCTATTGCCTCGAAACAAAATTGATATTTTAATTTTAAGCATGCCAAGGTAGTGTCAAGCCGTAATTAATGCTGCTGGGGAAAACGCAGAATTATTAAATTTGTTTTTAGAAAAACATTTATTGTTAGATTTTTGTTTTAATATTGACTTTTATGTTAAATAAACATTTTATTAAATTGCTACACTTCTTAACTTTGCTTGATTGTTTCATCAGAGAGAAAGAATCTTACACTAAAATTAAGATGAATTCATTGCTGACTCATCAGGTATTATAAACGGTATGTTACTTTTTAAAATTTAATCAATATCGATGTATATCTGAGAAAAAAAGACTTGGTGTTCCTTAGACATATTTGAGATTTTATTTTGATATCTGAGACAAACTTTCATAGATTTTAAATAAGCCTTCAGGAAATAGAGATAATGGAAAAATTGGTCTTGTGGATAAAACCAGTACAGAAGAGAAAAGGGAGGACCAACACAACGAATTGAAAAAGTGCAAAGGAAGAAGGTTGGAAGAGAAAAGCACAAAATAAAAAAATGGAAAGAAGTATAAAAAAATTAAGGAAAACGCTCTTAACATAACAAGATGTAAAAATTTAACATTGTGATTCTACCTCAGACTACCCGTTACCTTTTATAAAAAGAATACGATCAGGAAAGAATGCATCAGGAAAATAGCGAAGAAACGGAATCACAATATATTTTAAAGGCTACACTTTAAACTTTGCATGCAATATAAATTTTGAATATAAAACCAACATAATACGCCACTGGTGGTGGGAAGATTAGAACTAGCATCAAAACTATCAAAATTTTTGTCGATATCTCAGATGAGTTGCATAGCACAGCCTTCGGATAATATTTACCTTTAAATTTTCACTTTTTACTCTACAATTTTCGTCATCGCTCAGATCCATATCCACATTATCTGGAGATATAGGTGGTGAAGGCTCATCTCTTTCCAACAACAACGGCGGTAGTAGATGCTGCTCCTGAAACTTTGGTGGCGGTGGTGGTGGAGGAGGGAGTTTCAGTTGATCTATATTAAAACCAAATCTGTAGTCTTGGTCACCGGAGCCATTTCCAGGATCTTCAGCCGGAAGCTTTGGATTCGAGAAACCCTGTAATACCTGTTTTTTAAAAACAATACAATATTTTATTATATACAATAATATAATTTGTAATAAAAGTGCTATTTGTAATAAAAATAATTATTTTTATTGAAAAATATTACATTTGTGAGGTGTTTCAATCCGTAAAAAAATATAGACTGAAGTATAGCATGTGAATTAAAATGTGAGAAAAAGAGAGAGAAGGTGGGAGAGAAAGCAACGTAAAGTTTAACTAAAATGAAATATATTTGTAAAACATTTTTTATTTATAAATAATACTCTATATTATGGGAATAAGTTAGATATCTATGATTTAAAATAGAGTAATACTGTTTCACTACACCATACTTCCGATAATGGTTTAATCTTTTCAGGGATAAAAAAAACGAAGAGGTTTTTAAATTTTGAATGTAATCTAAACATATCATCTAAACAGCACATATGATATACTAACATCAATAATATTCTTCATTCCTGATTAATGGTTAATTATAATAGTTGTTGGTGTTTTAGTTTTCTATTTCATTTTAAAGTAAGTTACTTGCAGATTTCTCTCCTTTCAGTAGAAAGGGCTCTGTCAGGAGTGACTTTCCATTATCTAGCTTTGCATGAGACGAGAATGGACCAGGAACGAACAAAGGGGACTAACTTATACAAGAACTACGAAACTGGATCTAGGTACAAGCCATTGTTCCTAAGATGAAGAGGAACTACTGAAAGCTTTAATTACCTTTTAAAGTAACGGCTCGACAGCAGGTATTACAACGCATCCGCATGAACATAGCCACATAGTGTGTGCACAAAATATTTGACGGTATTTGACAGTGCCAAGACACACGAGATATTACTTACAATCTACAATCTACTTGCAAATTACAATAATACTCAAATGTTGTTATTGATAAAAAAATACTGTTATTAACGATCTTAATGTTTAAATAACTAAAATTGTTGTTGTTAGCATACCCTAAAACCAATTTTCACAACTTAAAAAAATAGGTAGTCTAAATATGCTGATTATGTTGCACTGACCTCTTAATGCTACGAAATAATACTGTAGTATTACTAGGATTGTGCTTTCAATGTGTTACGTGAACAAAGTAATATAATTAACTGCGTGAAAAAAATATAAAAAATTATAAAAATATCAAGATATAAAAAAACTTACCTGGTCTGACTGATTGTTCCATAGGCTATTAGAAAGAGAATTTTGAGAGTTGGAATGTCCAGGAGATCCAGTAAGGCTTATCAAGTTTCGGTGATCAACATCTTTGGTTCCAAGGCTACTTTGAGAATCATCTGAAAACAAGATGGAAAATTTAAACACAAATTAAAGTAGAAGTTTATCTTTAACAACGGGCTATCATCTATCTCTTCGCTGTGAAGCAGAATAGTTGCATTCGTTGATTCGAGCCACACGTCCAGCCAGAAATTGTTTAAATCTAGTAGTTTAAAAAAAGGAGACAAAAATGACCCATCTAACCATCGAACTATTACGTTGCTTTACACCCGTTTGAAATTATTGAGCAACAAGGTTTCGGTGTGACAGATCAACTGTCGATGCGACATTCATAATAAGCCTCCGATTGTATTAAACTACAAGATGTGGATTAAACTTTTACATAGAGAGACTATAACGGCCACTATAACTCAGATATTAAAGGATATTATCTCTGATCACAAAACAAGAATAAAAATAGGAACCGAAGTAACGGAGGAAATCAACATTTAATCAGGTATAAGACAAGGTGATAACTTGAGCTCATTGTTGTTTAATTTGATAATGGCCAAGCTAATAGAAGTAAAAAAGTCAGAAACAGGGTATCAAATGGGCAACATAGCAATAAAGATTCTATGCTGCGCAGAAATAATATTAATTAATGAATATGATCTACAACGAATGGTCTACGCTTTGGAAGCTAACGCAGACAAGTTTGACCTGAAAATATCAGAACTAAAAACAAAGTCCCTCGTTATTGCTAGGAAGCCAGTGAGATGCAAATTGTAATAAATAAAGAAACAGAAGTAAGAGATAGAATCGCTAATACACAAATCAGAGACATGTGTAAAGTACATGATATCATCAGTTGGGGACGCCAAAGAGAACGGAACCAACATATTAACGGGAAGAGAGAGACTTGCCCGAATAGTAAGAGATGGAAAACAAGAAGGTAAAAGACCACAAGGCAAACCCTAAAAGATGGAGAGATAGTTGACAGTCATCACAAATACTCTAAATCAAACCGGAAACAACAGGTCTTAATGCCTAATATACATACGAAGAAGAAGTATAAATCCCATTGAGTCGGTTGATGGATGAGTGGAACGGTAACAGATATAGCCTCCATTACTTGCAGTACTGTTGAAGGATCGAATTTTAAGGCTCTCACTCTTTTCGAAAAATTCACTAATCCCAGATACCTGCGGTGTTAAAAGCAATGAGCTCTGAGGACTCTTTCCGTGTTTAAAGGACCTGGTATTCTGAAATATCTTACAAAAATTTCCGCACGCATCTGGACGTCGCGAGCAGTACCAATTTTTGCATTACCCAGCTGTATAATTATCATTATTATTATGTATTTAAAAAAACTGATATAATCTACTACTACACTATCTTTCAAGACAAATTTATCGAATGTATGAGTTTTTATGACTCCGAAATATTTTTTTATTTCTAAAATATTGTCAATTTTTACCATATCGTAGCGTTACAAACGAATAACGATTTGACTTTATTTTATTTCTAATGTAACTATCTGTCTTTGAAACGTTAATCCTTTTCAATGTAATATTACCAGTCTGTATCAATATTATTCGGTATGTGCAAGTTCGGAAGAGCGACATATAGTGTCATAGATCAGCGAAACTATTAGCACTTTTAATATATTACTCCTATGTAAACTGCAAATAAAATGACCTAAACTTGTTTATTTAATACAATAAATATTATAATTTATATCAATATTTAACTTCGAAAAATTTTTAATGGATTTTAATTGTAAAAATGGGTAAATAAATTGTTTACCTTTAGATTTCATCATTTGAACATTAAAGATATAATAATAAAACACTGAAAACTTTGTTTTCAACTTGAGAAAGGCAATTTCCAGAAAACAGAAGGTTTATAAACCGACTAAGAATTGGACATACAGCGTTAACTCACCAGCATCTCATAACAAAAGAACTACCACCTGAATGTTCCTATTGTGAATGTCCAATAACTGTTCAACATATATTGATTGAATGTCCTTTATTCCTACGAAAGAGCCATCAACAACGTACCAGAAGAAGCAAAGAAACTTAAAGATATTTTAAACTGTAATGTATCAAATACAATCAAATTCCTTAAGGACATAAGATGTGGAACAAAGTTTTCAGTGTTTTATTGATACATAAAATAAATTTCCATCAAGTAACGGTCGAATCCATCAGTTATTAAAGATATGGGTTATTAAAAGGTAAACATTTCGAAAGAGCACCATCTAGTACCATAGATAAGCGCACGTTTTAGTAAACTGCAAATAAAATAACTTCACTTATTTATTTAACTCTCCGGTGTCCAAGCAGCGGCACTCCGTGCCGCAATTTTAATATTTTAATAATTTTTACCAATATTCTTTCATATACGCTACTATCTATTTAGATATGTGCACGTATATTTAAAAAATTACCTGCTGATGTCGCATTTCCTAAAGTGTTGTATCAGTTTGATATTGACTATTGATACAAAATATCATGCAAGGAAAAATAGCAGGCAAACGCAGTCCAGGACGAAGAAGAACCTCATGGTTGAAGAACTTGCGAGATTGGTATGGTGTTGATACAAGCATGCTATTTAGGGTGGCAGTGAATAAAATTAAGATAGCTATGTTGGTAACCAACGTTCTGAAAGGACATGGTACATGAAGAAGAATATTGAAGTGGGAGTTGTTTAATAGCGGCATTCCGTACCGCAGCGTAGCTAGTCATGTACGTAAAATTTGTTCATACAGTTTTTTAGCGCTTAGATTAATTGATGTATTTTTTGTCATTTTAGGGGTACAAAAAGGCCAACTAAGTATTTGACGTTGCAATAGATTGCGGAAAATCTGTCTGATTTTGATATCAATCAAGATATTGCTGATTTTAGTGATTTAGGTGATAACCAATTTTATATGAGCAAGGATGAAGAAAGAATTTGTAGTCCCCAATACCTTATGACAATAAAACCAGAGCAAAAAATATTATGAAAGAAGTTTCTGGACAAAAAGGTAATGCAAAAAAACGTATTGGATCCATTAGATTCGTTTCTTTTATTTATGATTACTCCAGCTATGATTAATAGTATTGTCACTTGCATTAACATACATATCAACAACAGAAGAGCAAATAATCTATCTTGCCAGAGAGACAGAAATTGCAAATTAACCTCTCGTAATGAAATAAAGCTTTGTTTGGGAGCTTATTTATTCTTGCAGTAAAAAAAGGAAATTATGTAAACGTTCAAGAACTATGGGCAAAGGACGGAACCGGTATGATACGGGCCAAAGCTGCTTTTGGTTACCAAAGATTCCTCTTACTCCTTCGTGCTCTTCGTTTCGATGATGTTAGGACACGAAAAGATCGTGAACAAAATGATAAATTAGCTGCTATTAGTACACACACTTTCTGCATAATTGTATGAATAATTACTGTTTGGGGAAATACGTCACTATACATGAAATGCTTCACACTTTTAGAGGACGATGTGGCTTTGTACAATATATGCCACAAAAACCAGCCAAATATGGATAAAACCCTATGCACTTTGCGAGAGCAGGTCTTACTATACTTGGAATTTCGAGATATACTGTGGAATACAAAGGACGGACCGTACAATGTTCAAAAAACCATTCGATATAGTACAGCGTTTAGTTTTCCATAAAAACTCCAAAAGAAATATAACTATGGATAATTATTATACTAGTTATCCTTTAGCTGATTATCTCATGCAAAATGGCCTGAAGAACAAAAGAACTCCTCCCCAATTTCTTCCCGACTAAACTACGAGCTATTGGATCTTCAATATTCGGGATCCAAGACAATATGTCCACTAGTTTTATATCTTCCTAAAAGAAATAAAGCTGTAGTATTGCTTTCTACCATGATCGATACAGACGAAATAGACGAAGATACAGGAAAACCAGCAATAATTTTAGAATACAATAAAGCAAAAAGTGGCGTCCATACGGTTGACCAAAAATGTGCTTCCTACACGACAGAAAGCATTACCAGAAAATGGCCATTACCTTACACGACAGAAAGGATTACCAGAAGATGGCCATTAGCATATTTTTCGCATACTAGATTTAGCTGGAATAAATAACGAAGTTATTTATAATTGCACTAAGCCAAATATGTCGCCACGAAGAAGGAGAAAATTCTTACTTGAATTAGGTTTCTCCTGATGAGGGATCATTTAGAAGACCGAGCGAAGATACTAACACTTTCAAAAGATGTAAGAGAATTTCTGCTGCCTTTTCAAATTGCCAAAGAATCCACCAGCACGGTAAACCAAAGTCGGAGTTAACATATATGCAGTACGCATAAAAACAATAAAACACCTGTTTCCTGCGACTCATGCCAACAATTTGTTTACAAACATCATATTAAAAAAAATTCAGTGTAATATGTGTTTGTATCCTTCAATGGAGGAAGACTAATTTAACTATTTTGTATTTAGATATTTTTCTTTTGGGATCTTTTGTGAGAATATTTTTTACTGTAAACGTTTTCTTTGTTTTGATATTTTTGTAAGATTGACTATTCGTTTTTATATTTTGCGCCTGAGTCGTTACATTATGTTAAAGCCATACAATAAATTGCTAAAAAAACGCTTTTTGCGTCCTTTACGAATATTTGACTTCGAACAATTTTTAATGAAATTTTAATTGTAAAGATGGGAAGTACTTATATTTTTTACGTTTAGATTTCATCATTTGAACATTAAAGATAAAAGTTATTAAAAGGTAAACTTTAACGCAAAAATTGGGGAAGGAGCCGTAGATCACGTAGTTGGAAAATATGGTCTTGGTGAAAGAAACGACAGAGGGGACAGATTGATACAGTACTGCCAAGACAAAGATCTAGTCATAACGAATACTTGGTATAAGTTACCACCCAGGAGGCTTTACACATGGAAGTCGCCTTTAGACGGACATCAGGGCATTATAAGGAACCAAATAGATTATGTGACAATTAATAGAAAGTACAGGAATGCTATTACTAAGGTATCTGCATTACCTGGAGCAGACATAGGATCCGACCACAATCCCTTAGTA